GAGTTTTTATCTCGAATTCGACATTTTGCTCCTCTCTACCTGAAAACAGAGAAGAAGCCAGAGAAAGTAAAGATCTAGTTGCAAATAAATATCATAAACAGCAGAGGATAACATATTTCTTGTAGTAAGAAACACAAGAAATAAAGCATTTTCACAGGGCAGCCCAACTTAACACTTACAAGTGTGTGTAGTTCAGCACACTCCTATACTAGAATCTCAACTGTTAGCTCCTTTACGTGCAATACTTGAAGTCTAATGATCAAAGTATAAACTAAGATGATTGACAAAGGATACCGTGCTATGCGAAGGTATAAAGTAACATATCACTGAGAAATGACATACCTTGCAATGCGGAAGATAGCATCTGCTCCACTGAGTCTATTGAAGAATCTTCCACAAGGGTCAACAAATGTTTTCCTATTGCTTCATCAATATTAAGACCAGTTAACTCGGCAATTTTGGAATTCCACCCATTGACAAGACCTTCAACATCAACTGCTAAGATTGGCACTGTAGCTGTTTCGATCAAACGGACCATCTCACCGGTCAATGCTTCTAGTTCTTGCATCCCGTCAATTTTTAGGTCACTAAGCCTTGTGTGAATCATTCTTGTATCCACGTCTAAGGCCTCGCCATCCTTGAATGCATTTCTTAATATAAGCTGCAGAGAATGGATGGCATCCATTTCATTGTCCTTCCAAGGCAAGCTCCTTGTCTTGACAACTTCAAGGAATGCCTTGAAAGAAGATCTTGGGTGCATTTTCCTTCCGTCATCTTCCTCTCCAGGTTCATGCTTTGCACCACCCCATCGAACTTCAGATGCAGTTTGAGCACGGAACCAAAATAGAAGGTCACCAGAAGTTATTCTCACAGCTGCCATTCCACAAACCACATCACCAAGAGCCAAAGCTCCTGGGTAACCTGCATCATACAAGCTATCCGTACTCAGACCAGTGGAATCCATATGGTACTCGGAGAGCCAGCGAGTAATATCTTGTATCTGGAAATCGCTAGGTGTTGCACCCAACCTCCACACCTTGTTCTTGTAAAATAGTGCAGCACCATCACATTTCACTAGATCCATAATGTTTGGACTCTGTGTTACAATACCTAACGGTGCATCACGCATCAACATATCACATAATAGTGTCTGAGTACGAAGGATATTCTTTTCCACCATCTGATTTTCTAACTCTAGCTCTTTATTCACATGGATAGCAAATACTTGAGCTAGAAACTCACAAGCACTCCTAAGAGGGAATGGAACAAACCGCGGGCTAGTATTATGACATACAACTAAACCCCAAAGCCTTTTTCGCTTCTGGGGCTGTTCAGAGCTAGTAATGTCACTATCATCATCCCCCTCATTCACAATGACAGCCATAACCAACGAAGCAATAGAGTCCATGTTTTCCATGTACTGTAAGTGACAAGTGTGAGGGGCCCTCAGGGTAGAACCACATAAGGTCAGATCAAATGGAAGTTCATCATCTTGAAGTACCTTGATGTGCTTTGCACGGCAATCAACAATCATCCTAACCTTATTTTTCATAAACAGGAATCGTGCTGCCTGTGGAATATCAGTTGCTGGATAATGCAAACCCAAGTACGGCTCCAATCCGGGCTTTGTGAGCTCAGAGACAACTTCCCCATGATCATCATCATGGAATTTGTAAGCCATCACCCTATCATATCCGGTAAGCTCAAACACCTCCTGAACCATGGTGTCGCAAAGTCTTTCCATGCTCCCGCTAGGTAATGATTGCAACCGAGTTATTGCTTTAGCAGCAAGCATGTACGATTGCAGCGCACCCTTCGTTGACGTAGTCACCTCATAAGGCTTCACAGGTTCGAAGTCAATTATCAAGCTACCAGTTACCCGATGGACGATAGCATAAAAAGGCTTCCCTGAAGTCTTGCAATGAACTAAGATGGGATTCAGCAGAGCAACATCCCCAAATCCAAGGGCCTTAAGCAAGGCAGTGGCACTAGGTGCTGTGAAGATAGTCCTCAAATCAGTTCCAATGCCCAGAAATGGATGGTCTCCCACACTTGGTACTGCATGATTAACCATCGTCAGCATTTCCGGAGCATTCTCGCTGTATGCAATCACTTTCAGCGACTTCTCGTCCAGTGCTAGCAAGCAGCCGAAAGGCTGGATCACCTTGCCCTTCTGGATATGATGAAGATAAGCCGTGGTTACTTTGTCGGACCTAGGTTGTTGACGTCCAGGGAGGGAACTGGTTACTCTCATTGAGCTCGAGTAGTCAAAAGAACTGCCCGACTCCTCAAAGTCCGCATGAAGCTTTGCATCCACCGTGGTCTGAGCAATAACTCTAGCGCTGTGCCTTGCTCTCCCAGAGTTGCTGGAGGCTTGACTAGGTCTTGAAGTAGACATCTTTCCCTGAACTGGAAACAAAATAGGACAGTGAGAGAGTTGCAGGGAATCCAATGGAATCAGGCATATCCCATCCTCTTTTACACAAGAGTTCGAAAGCAAGAAAATCAATCTATAGAATCCAATCGGTATGGAGCATAGAAGAAAACATATGAAATATTTATACTGCAAAGCTGAGAACCAGAGTAAACATCAAGAAGAATCTGAGCTTGGTTACACGTACAGGAAAGAAGCTGTAAGAGAAAGCATGAGTTGGTAAATGCCAGATTTGCCAACTGAGCTCTGGGATAACTTAATTCGCTATATAAGGAAATAAAGGACTTCACTTTCACTACACAGCTTCAACATATCATCAATTTCGTTCATGGCAAGTGGAGGATTATTAAAAAAAAAAAAAAAACCCCAGTAGTAGTGACTTACCGTTCTTGCCTGCTGATAATACTGAGCTCCTCAACACTCTCTGTGACTACTCCAGTGAGTGACAACTTCTTGCTGGGGATAAGTTTTGCTGATAATTTTCTTCTCCAAGCGTGTTGGTGTTGGTTTCTTAGCTCACCGGTAACCAGCAAGCTAAGCAGCTGAAAATGGTGGGTGGCGAGTGTGGAAGAAGAAGAAGGGAGAAGTGTTCCTTTCTAAGAGATTTCAAGATCAATCATTTTTGTCTCGTTGCTTCTTTCTGTCTCTCTCTTCCCATTCTCAATTGTCTACTGGAGGATTAATTCCCTAAATACACATTAAACTAAACCAAATTCCTAAACTACCACACTTATAAAAAAAATTCCCAAAATACCTAAGTTTGGAGTGGTTCGAGTTTGAGGAACTCGAACTACTAACCGGTTCGAGTGTAGAAGACTCGATCTACACGTAAATCGATGATATAAGCCTCGAACCATGTGGAGCTGAAGTGGTTCGAGTTCAGTGAACTCGAACCACTACTTTGAAATTTCCAATCACCATAACTTTGTCCTCGGTTATCCGATCGTAGCAAACTTTTTTTTCATTTCGCATAACTTTTTGAGGACTACAACTTTTATAATAGAAATATTTTCAGAATATATGTGAAAATGTGAAAATTAAAGTTAAAGTTACTCCCAAAACCCCTTATATTAAAAACTATTCCTATTTTGAAAATTTATTCCTAGTAAATGTTGTAGTACTCAAAAAATTATGCAAAATAAAAAAAAACATTGCAACGTTTGGATTACGGAGCACAAAGTTATGATCCTCTAAAGTTTGGCAAAATCGAAAAATTGCTCGTTTAGGGGTAACAAATGACATTTTCTCGGGGCGAAGGCACGGGAAATTTTTTTATATATAGGAAATTTCTGCCAAAAGAGCAATATTTTTACAAACAAGACATTTTTGGATGGCTATCTTAGAAAACGTCATTTGCTACCCATAAATTAAACGAGCAAGTTTTCAAATTTGTCAAACTTTGGAGGATCATAACTTTGTGCTCCGCAATCCAAACGTCGCAAAGTTTTTTTTTATTTTGCATAATTTTTTGAGTACTACAACATTTACTAGGAATAAATTTTCAAAATAGGAATAGTTTTTAATATAAGGGGTTTTGGGAGTAACTTTAACTTTAATTTTCACATTTTCACATATATTCTGAAAATATTTCTATTATAAAAGTTGTAGTCCTCAAAAAGTTATGCGAAATGAAAAAAAAGTTTGCTACGATCGGATAACCGAGGACAAAGTTATGGTGATTGGAAATTTCAAAGTAGTGGTTCGAGTTCACTGAACTCGAACCACTTCAGCCCCACATGGTTCGAGGCTTATATCATCGATTTACGTGTAGATCGAGTCTTCTACACTCGAACCGGTTAGTAGTTCGAGTTCCTCAAACTCGAACCACTCCAAATTTAGGTATTTTGGGAATTTTTTTTATAAGTGTGGTAGTTTAGGAATTTGGTTTAGTTTAATGTGTATTTAGGGAATTAATCCTCTACTGGACCGTGAACAAGATGAGGGCTCGTTCTGTTTTCCAAGACAGAAAGAAATTCTTTTGTTTTCTTTAAAGGAGGGAAAGTGTTTGTGTTTCACCGCCTCGGCGACCAAATAATCGGGTTCCACCACCACCACCCTGTCGAGAGTATGGTGGTGGCATGGCGGGGAGGTTAAGGCCCATAAGCACACTTTTATCTTTATTCGAGAGTATGGTGGTGGCAATGGGCGGGGAGGTTGAGGCCCATAACATACTTTTATCTTTGTTTTCCTAGCAAATTTGCAGGAACCCAGAACTAAACGCTATGTTTGGTGTGCAAATTTGAGGATAAAAATTAAAGTAGCCACCAAAATCAAATACACACCTAAGCAGTTTTATGTGAGAATTTTTTAGTTTATTAGACACTATAATGGAGAGATTGGAGAATCAATTCATTAAAAACGGACACCTTTAGTAAATTTTATATATATGTTTTTGCTTTTGTGTGAAAAAAAATACAAGATCATATTTAATTGTCATAATCCACCCCTAGCCGGTGAAATATGAAATCATAGTTCATTGACACAAAAGTTGAATACAAAACTCAAAATGAAAAAATATCTATGTTGAGCAAGATCAATATACAATATTGTATCTCCACTCTCAACGCAACACAATTGTATATATCACTATATTGCTATAGTCTAGATACGAACTACAAATACGTTAGTGGCGGTCTCAACTCTTTTTTTTTTCCTCACGAGTGGCGGTCTCAACTCCATACTTGCAAAGATTGATATTTGCGGATAACCACACCCAACCCGCAGTGGATAGTGGTTATCCACTAACCACTGCAGTGCGAAGTGTGGGTAGCATAATTGTAAATTTGTAGGTGTGGGTACCCGCAAAATATGGGTCGGTAACTACACCCACCTCAATTTACACCCCTATGCATAACGCGATCATTCTTTCATCGTCTTTCTCATTCATTGGTATCTCATCACAGCAGAAATTCCTCCTAAAGTATACCAAATGTTACAGACAAAGACATTACAATCTCCAAAGACAGGGAGATGGCCTCCGTTTTGGTTACTGACATTCCCTAGTTTCACTTTTGGAGACACTTTAAACTGTAGAATAGCACGCAGTGCTGCCTCCTGGAGAAAGAAGACTTCACAGCTCAGGAGCCTAACCAGAACAACAGAGGAAGGAAGTAGACCAGCTTCAGGAAACATGAAAGACTGATTAAGGGACACGAGAAGTGGTATTGCACGTACCTTCAACAGAAGAAGAAATGCTGCTGCTGCTGCTATCTAGTAAATCTCATCATCAGGCACATCTGGATTCAGGAACTTCATTGGATCTTTTCGCATGTCCTCGTAATTCAGGGTAGGCGTAACCCTATCTGGCACGGGAAGTAGAGGAATGATGCTATCCCTATCAATCACACCATCGATTATTCCGTACTCAACTGCCTCAATTGGAGACATGTACCGGTCCCTATCAATATCTTTCTCCACCTGCTCGATCGTCCGACCACACCAGCTTGAAATAAGGCTCACAATGTTCTTCTTGTTGTGCATGATTTCCCTTGCTTGAATCTCTACATCTATTGCTTGTCCACTAGCACCTCCAAGTGGTTGATGAATCATTATCCGTGTGTTGGGCATTGCCAAGCGCTTTCCTTTCGTGCCACCACCAAGGATAATGGAAGCTGTTGATGCTGCCATGCCGAGGGCAACAGTGGAAATGTCAGCCCTAACAAGTTGCACAACGTCATAGATGGCCATTGTCGCACTGCACAAATTGATTCATGAGCCGATCAGAGAAGACCAAGAGAATGGCATGCTAACAGCTGTTTTGCTAAGCATAATCCATCATCATGCATAAACAAAAACTGTTTGATTATGATTTGAGGGTGATAATTCAAATATGCAAGTCAACGTTTGATCGTAGACATGTTGTACAGGAATACGAGAGTGGACAAATCAGTAATCAGTCATTTCGATGGACAAAATTGGTAATAACTCAACGCTATTCTTTTCACCATACAAATGAGAGATACTAGAGTAGAAAACAAGGGCTCATGTTCAAATACCAATCATCCAGTATGGATTTTCTGGCCACATTAATTAGGAATATCGTTAAGATGGAGAAAGTAAACTAATATTGATACAGACAAGTTAACTGTTAGGAATGGTCCGGCAATGGATATACCTTGTACACAAAAACTCAAGCTATCAGTACCCAATGTGACATAGAGCCTAACATCCAGAAAGGGGAAAAAGCCTAATCCATTGAAGTAGAGACCCTTTAAGAGGGTTAAAGACACCTAAACAAATGGGAGAAGTCCTGCTGTAATACCTACAAGACATTCACAAACAGGAGGATATCTTATATTTATACCTAAGCATTTTTTCAACAACATTCTACACAGGGATTCGACACAGTGAAGCAGCCCATTCCTTGTGACATTAAGTCTACCATGAGACAAGTCAACGGTAAACTACAGTCACTGCATCTATTGTGAGTAAAATTTCCCAATAAGAGCCAGGAAGATAAAGCCTAAGACAAGAATGCACATAGCAAACAAACCGACAATCCTAAATCTCTATTATGCAAGCACAATAGATCTTTACCATCAGGGTACGCAGTATTCAATAGTCTAAAAGAAGGTTATCTGGGTAATTATGAAAGTCACCAAACCAAAGACGGGGAAAAAGAGAACTTCAAATTGTAGAATGTTTATTTGCACAAAGCTTGCTCTAGTCCTATATCAAATTTATCAAACATCAAGAAGAAGGCGCAGGAAAGTTCCGAGGAGAAGAAGCACAGACTCAATCAGCACTCAGCAGCGACCATAACCCACTCATTACACTGTTCTGGCAGTTCATAATCCACACGCCGCATGGAGGGATTGAGCCAAAACTCGAGCACATTGCTCAACACATGATATCCTCCAGAAAACAAAAATGTCGGCCAAATATTTGGTCCAAAATCTCACCTTTAGCCAATAAACCAAACTGAAAATAGACGATAGAGGAAATCATGAGACATAAGCCACGACCATTATACCGCCCCATCTTCAAGTCATGGAGCGGAACAGAAAGCTTTGGCATGCAGCAAGGTGTGAATTTAATTACTGTTCCAAAAACTGGAGATCAGGGAGAATTGAACGTAGTCGTGGATTGAATCAAATTACCTGAGAGATCCTCCTGGAGAATTGATGAAGAGACGAATGTCTTTGGTGGGATCCTGAGCATCAAGGAGGAGCAACTGACTGATGATGGCATCGGCGACAAAGTCGTTGATTTCGTTGCCGAGGAACACGATCCTCTCCCTGAGCAGCAGGCCCATGGCGTCAGCCTCTGCTCCCCTCATGGCCGTGGCGGGAGACTGGGGGGAGTTGGCGGTGAGGGAAGAGGCGAGGAAGGAGGCATTGGTGTTGAAGGAGGGGTTAACAGAGGTTTTGGGATAAGAGGATGAGCAATGAAGAGCGGTAATGGCGGCGGCCGGTTTGGAAGGGAGCGAGGAGAAGGACGACGTTGAGAAGGATGCCACTCCTTCGCGATTGAAGCAGGAGGATACTGTTTGCGTTTGGTGCGGGATCGGAGGAGACGAGAGGGACAGTGACTCCATTGTTAGAGCTCGAGCGAGCAAGAAAAAACAAGTCGGGAGAGAGATATACTTGGGGACGGATGGGCTAAAGCGATGGACCTCTTCTGGGCTGGGCTGGGCTCGTCGATTTGCCCTAGTTTGGATCAGACAGAAGATGGCTTTTTGGTTTAATTGGGCTTTTGGATCTCTCTGTTTTAGGTTAGGCTTCTGTGAAAAGATCCCCACCACTTTTCCCCCTCAGAATCTCTTTCTAGTTTCTACTCACCAATCGCCACCGCCATCGCCATTGCCATTAACTCGCGCGCCACTTTCTCCCGCGGTGCCGCCACCGTCCTTGCTCGTCGTCGATGGTAAAAGAATAAGCGAGGTGGCCGCCACATCGGTTTCCCTGCCGTTTGCAGAAACTCTGTTAATTTGCATCTTAGGTTGAGGATAATGGTGGGTTTCAAGAATAGATTACATGGTGATGGAGGTTTTCTTGGACCCAAATCGAGACATCAAAGGCGATGATTCTATCATCATTACGCCGTTCAATTTGATGAAAAGCGATTAAAGATAGCATTCTTCCAAACTTTGGGGAATGTTTCTTGGCTTCGTCACTTGGTTCGCTGCAAGGTATGTTGCAGGTTCCTTATCTACTTCATGTTTTGTGCCTACTTATGAAATTGTTCTTCTTCATCTTCCTGGATATGTTTTTCACTGCAGTCAAGTATGTGAACCCTATTACAAAGATGTGCATAATCAGAGTTTCTAGAGAGAACCACCAAGAAGTTTGGTCAGCTATGACCATGGTGCGTAAGATTTGGGAATTGCCCTGCATTTTTCAACCTACTGGATCTTAGTGGTAAGCGGACTTTACTGAAACAGATTTGGTCTTGAGTAACGCTGATGAGTTGTGTTCTTTGGTGGATGTTCTCACACATTGTCCTCTGCTAACCATGGAGTTGTGCGCTCATTTTGCTTGCAATAATGGATGCTATTTCATGGAATTTTGTAGCAACTGTTGTTCATTTGAGTTACTGATATAAACAAAAGGAATTTTGCATCTATCTTTACTTGGGGATTTAAAATGTCACCCATCTCATATTTTACCTTCTTCATGTTCCCCCTTCTTTCCCTTTTACTACGATACAGGAAGCATAAGGGCTTGTAGAGCAGCTGCTTTGAAGTGTGATGAGAAGAAGTTTGAGCACTACAAGCTCATGGCTGGACAGAGTTTGTCTGCTGATGATAGTCAACGCATGCAAAACCATCTGGAGAAGATCAAATTTTTGGAGAACTGAAATTGTTGCTGCCTGATTTGGTATGGTTTGGGGGGGCGATAAGCGTAAAATGATTTGGTAGAGAGAAGGTTCTTTGCGTGTGTTTGTCGATATAGTAGGATATATAGTTTTGTGTTTTCCACATTTCTTAGAAAAAGGTTCGTAGCTGGTGAGTGTGTAAAGGCCTAAAGGGACAATGTAGCTTCCCCGTCGGTGAGTAGGATGACAATTTCGACCTGACCCGATTTACCTGACCTGTCTGGCCTGTTTTGGGGCGGGTCAGACCCGCCCTGTAGGCAGGACGGGGTGGGCATGGGTATCTCTCATCGACCCGACCTGCCCTGACCCGCCCCATTCTCGACCCGTTCTTGCCTAAGTTACATATAATCTTAGTCAAATTACTTAGGATTCTCCTCTTATTACATTATATTTTAGCTATAATAGAGTTGTAAATAAGTGAAAACCTCAATTTCTTCAATAATTTAACTAGATTTTATCATATTATGGTTTCTTTCTTTGTCTTTTAATGAAAATAACTAATATTTCTAATGTTTTTGACATAAATTACATACCCATTGGGTCGACCTGCCCCGACTCGCGCCCCGTAATAAATTACCCGACCTGGACCCGACCTGTCATGGGACGGGTATGGGTATTGAGATACCCGCCCCGAACCTGCCCATTGCCATTCCTGTCGGTGAGTGAAGTCAATGAGTTATACTTATCCAGGAATACATATTCCAATTCTGTTCTTAGTATGAACGTGGGGGAAAAAACATCGACATTTGGAGGAAAATACAGAAAATGTAGGTACTAGATTATAATTTGCCAACGAATCATGAATCCACTAAACATGGTAACCATCAGGTGTTAATCAATGAATGCTAAACTGCATTGCTTGTTGGATTTTAAAACTCGTTTACCGGCATACATTCTGGTAGGTACATAAATAAATATCATTTCAGCCGATTATGCGCAGTTAAATTGACAAGTTTTCAATATTCTAATTGTTTTTTTTTTTTGTATATTTCACCGTATAATACTACTTGAATATTTTATATTGTTTTGTTGAAACAAAATATTGCATAAATGTGCTATCAATTGTATCACTAAAATACCACATCACTGATTTTTTCTTTACGATTATGGATACGATTTTGCGAATATGATTTCAAAAATCATGACTTTAACTTCATGAGGAAACAAGGTGAAAAGAATAAGCTCTAAACAGAACCGACAACACAAAGCCATTTTATTTCTGTTAGTAAAGACACGTGGTGTGGCTAAATTACAAGAATAATCTAACGACAAAAATGGAATTTGCAATTTTGTGTAAAATAAACTGAAACAAGTATATTTTGTTGGAAATTAAAATAACATGGAATATACAAAAAAAAAATTATTATGTATAAGAGGGTTGGCCTATTCAATTTCAATCATCAGCGGCTTTGGATACTTTAAAGCTGATCGTGCCTGCCAGCTTCACTCACTCGGTTTCGTTCGTTGAACAAGAAGAGGGTGACAAAAGCATATCATGGAATGAAGAACAGCTAGCTATTTTAGAAAGCGAAATTCAATTAAGAAATCATTGGAGTCGCCTAATCAATCATATTATCATATCCTTCTTTAAGAAATGTTAGAAAGTCCTATCAATCAGATGGGTGCGGTGCGATGAGGTGAGGTGGGGGCTCTGTTCTGTTTTACACCACCATACGGAGGGACACAGTGACTGCACAAATTATACTATTCTTTATCAATTTCTTTACTTTATTTTTATCTAAAAAGGGGAAATATAAAGTGAAGGCTGGAAGTTGAGCAGTAAAGCCTTGTTCTTTTCTTCTTTTAGCTTGTGGGTAGGAGGAGGAAGGAAGGAAGGAAGAAGCTTGGAGTCGGGGGAGAAATGATGGAGGAGAGGCGGTGGAGATGGGTTGAGCAGCTGATTGTGCTGTTTCCAGTACTGATATTCTTCTGCATTCTGGGCTGCACCTCTGCTGCCACAGATCCATCCGATGGTATTCTTCTCTTTCTTCCTCTCTTTCTCTCTCCACCCCCTTCTTATCTTAACTTGCTTCCTTTTACCTGGGTACTTTTTGTTTCTTCATATGATGATAAAGTTCCTTCCTTCAAATGTGTTGGTTTGGATCTTCCCTTTCCTTTCTTCATCTGCACTTTGTTTTCTTTCTCTTCCATTTCCATGCTTCCCCTTTGCATCATTGCTTTGGCTTTGGACTTACTACAGTCTTGCTTTGGGAGCAAACAGTCTCGTTGGAGCTTTCTTTGACTTGCCAAAGGTTGGTGTAGCTAGGCTACACAAAGTGGTGGTTTGTGTTGCTCTATGGAAAATCAGTTCACAGTTCTAGTTAGGATGGGACCAAATGAGATGAAGCACCTTCTTTTCCAGTTCATTAGCTTACTTGAAGAGGACAACAGAAGCCACTGGAACTCATCTCTGTTGTCTGGGATTGCTGGGACTCAGTTACTTGCTCTGATGTCAAAACTAGCTAGCTCATTTCTCATCTGCATTAGTAGCCGGGGGCCGTAAGTCCCAAATAACTTCTTTTAGCAGACATTGACAGAGGATACGATTTATGGACCTTGATCTTATTCGTTCCAATTGTTTAGTTTTCCTGTTGGATAGGACTGACTGGCTCATCATATCAACTAAGCAACTAACTTTCTTGTCTACCTCATAGGAAGCTTTGCTTCTGAATCCCCAAAGATATAATTTTTAGAATCCGTGGTTCATTTAAGAAAGAGACTGTGGATCATTTAGTTTGGAAGGGTGGAAGAGTTAGCTAATGATGCAAGTTTACAATGTCAGACCCAGAAGCTTAGAAGTTTGGAGTTTCTTGCAGTACTTCAAGGAAATGGCACTTGGGATCTTTGTCGTATATTCAGAATAGAGCTGCTTTTTTCACAATTTTTGTAACTACCAGATTCTGTTAGGACTAGGCCTTTTCAAATGGTCACTGACTAGTGCATGTATGTGTTCATTCATAAGTAGTTGTACACCCCAACTTTTGGTGACACCCTGGTTGTGATAGGGGGTGGTGGGAACAGATTAAGGCGGTGCCCTGGGGAGGGGATTATCGAAGAAAATATGCATCTTAGTCAATAGGTTTTCCCAATTTTGAGAAAGCAAGTGAATAAAATTGTTTTTTTTATCCAAGATGTTAGTCAATAGGTTTTCGCAAATTAGTGAATGATAATAATGTATGTCATGTGATTGTCACGAGTTACTGGATGCTGATATTGAATTCTTCCTGTTGGAGCTACCTCACTCATTGACAACTAAACATTTCCAGATGACCCATGTTTGAGGCTAGTAAAGTTTTATTGTCCAGATATTCAGTTTATTTTATTGCATACCCTTTGATATTGATCTTGCGTGGATGGTTAATCTTCATTGTCCCTCAACATATGTTAATTACATGGTCTCAATTGCGTAAATGATTGTATAATCAAGAAAGATCCCCATTATAAAGATGCTTGTGTACCGTGTACGCATTATTATTAGTAGGATTCTGCTTCACTCTTTACACTATGAAATGAGGAACAATCAGTTGTATACAATAAAATCTTTTCCTGAAACAGTAGAGTTCCCTCTGCTAATTGATTGGTCAACCTTGCAGCTTCTGCTCTACGTGTCATGTACGGTTCCTTAAACTCACCAGGACAGCTGACTCAGTGGAGCTCAAATGGTGATGATCCTTGTGGCCAGAATTGGAAAGGCGTTACGTGCTCTGGCTCACGAGTCACGGAGATGTGATCTTCTACTGCACCAGTTCACCTTTGTTACATTATATCGTTAGAAGTTTAATTTTGCAACTGATCATTCTGCGTGTGCGTTCGATGTGTTTTACCAGCAAATTGTCCGGTCTTGGACTCTCGGGGTCAATGGGGTATCAGCTTGACAGTTTAAAAGCACTGAAAAACCTGTGAGAGCAATGTGCTGTCAGTTCTGTTATGTTTCCTTTTGAATGCCTCCCCCCTTCTTCTGTCCGCCCTACCCTGACTCTTCTCTATTTAACCTGTGACATGGTGTTGGCAGAGACATGAGCAGCAATAATCTCGCAGGCAGTCTACCTTATCAACTACCACCAAACCTGGAAAGATTGTATGATTTTTATGTTACCTGTTCATTTTTTATTGTTTGGCTTTTTCCATCATATCTCACTCATGGAATTGCACATAATTTTCTTTGTGCAGGAATCTCGCTAATAACCAGTTCACTGGAGAAATACCATATTCCATTTCTCTGATGACCTCTCTGAAGTACTTGTGAGTAATCCGATATTGTTCATTTTAATTTGCAGAGGGACCACTTTTTCATTCGTTATACTAGTAACACTTACTTTCTTTGGACTACTAGAAACCTTGCACATAATCAGCTTCAGAATCAACTGGGAGACATGTTTGGAAAGCTCCCTTCCTTGTCCACATTGTAAGATCTTCTGACTTGGCAGGACTGAACCTTAGTTCTCATTTGCTGGAAATAGAAATTTCAATGACCTTCATGTGCCTTTTATATGTGAGTTCATTCTTTGTATTTTTATGGAAAGTTGTCACTATCACAATGTTATTATGCAAGCATCAACATTTTGCATAAAAATGGAAGCATCAACATATATGATTCTGGAACTTTTTGCTAAGAATCACTGTCAGTTTTATTTGATGTAATTTTGTTGCTGTTTCTATAAGAGAAAATAATCCTATGTGACTTACTCGTCTATGTTCCGAACAGGGATATATCTTCCAACCAACTAACAGGGAATCTGCCAGAGAGTTTTGGCTCCCTTCCAAGTATGACATCTATGTAAGTATGAAAAATGATCTTGCTCCATATGATGCACCCTCGGCCTCATCTGACCTTCTTTCCATTTGTCAGGTACTTACAAAACAACCAATTCACAGGCACCATTGACGTCCTTGCTAGTCTTCCTCTTGAAACCCTGTGAGTGACCTGCTTATTAGTTTTGAATGGATAATGTATATTTCTTAAGAGCTGGTTCATCATTTGACTTCATATTTGTAGGAATGTTGCAAACAATCGTTTCACCGGCTGGGTTCCACAACAGTTGAGCAGCACTAACATCATGTAAGCAATTTATGTTCATGAAATTTGTTGCAACTGTCATTTATTGCCTAAATTGAGATATGCTAAAAAGTAAAAACTTACATGAGTGATCTTTGTGACAGAAAGGACGGAAACAATTGGAATTCGGGAACTGCTCCTCCTCCACCACCTGGGACACCTCCAGTCCACAAACTCCCACGTCATAAGTCTGGTGGCAGTGGTGGTGCATCAAATGGTGCAAGTGCTGATGATAGTGGCAGCAAAAAATCAGGAATAGGTGGTGGTGGTATAGCTGGAATAATTATATCTATCTTGGTCGTTGGTGCAATAGTTGCCTTCTTCTTGGTGAGAAGAAGATCCAAGAGGAGATCATCAGATGTAGAAAAGCTTGATAATGAGCCATTTGCTCCTCTTTCTGGCAATGAAGTTGAAGGCAAGTTTTGGTCTGCGTCTCCCTCTTATTTCCCTACTAGATAGTGTTTCCAAGTGTTCCACTACTAGTTTGCTGCTTTGCTGGTTGGCTATGGAGTTTAGAGTATTTATCATATGACTGCAATGCTGTTCGGTTATTTGCAAAGGGGTAATAATTCCACGGAGGGAAATTCTGAAATTTCAAGTCCTTGCAATAGGTGAATCTAGAAGTCCGGTGCCCATCCTTAGTTATATGCTTGTGACTTAGTTTACTAGCAAGGTGATCTTAACTGCAATCAGCCATGGCATTTTGGCATCTGCGATGCCAGTCAAGCCATTGATAACCTTGAGACAGATCTGAATCTGATCCTTGAAAACGTGCTAGTCCTTTGGTATTCTGTCGTTAAAGTCCCTGTGATGTTTAGTTGCTAATTTTCCTTTAAGAAGATTTAAGGTTTGCAAGTTTTCTTTCCTTATCCTGCAGACGCGGTTGCTAAAACATATTAAATTATATATGCAGAGATGAAATCCATACATAGTTCATCCTCAATCAACACTAAAACTTTTGATATCCCGCCATCAATGAGCCTGAAGCCCCCTCCTATAGATCGCACGAAGTCATTTGATGAGGATGAATCTGTCAAGAAGCATGTTATCAGGAAACGTGTTGCAGCTCCAGTTAGTGTGGCAACATACTCAATAGCGGACCTCCAAATGGCAACTGGAAGCTTCAGTATGGAACATCTTCTTGGTGAGGGGTCTTTTGGGCGTGTTTATAGAGCTCATTTTGATGATGGAAAGGTACACTTTGGCTCTTATTTTTTGCTTTCATTTTTGGCTTGTAGCTTAAAATGGAAATATGATGATGCACTTCTGCCTTTCACATTCCTCCAGTGAAATAGTATGATTATCGTTGTTAATTCAGATACAACCATAACTTTATCTGTAATTATTGTCTGCCTTCTCGAACACCACTTCAGGTACTTGCAGTGAAGAAAATAGATTCAGCTGCTCTATCCAGTGAAATGTCTGAAGATTTTGTGGAGGTGGTTTCAAAGATCTCGGACTTGCATCACACCAATGTCACTGAGTTAGTGGGCTATTGTTCTGAGCATGGACAGCATCTGCTAGTCTATGAATTCCATAGACAAGGATCACTACATGACTTGCTGCATCTATCAGATGAATACAGCAAGCCCTTGATATGGAATTCACGCGTCAAGATAGCACTTGGAACAGCACGTGGATTAGAGTAAGTTCACAGCATGTATATAAACAAGATAACTCAATCTCTTTTATGTTTCTTTATCCATGTTAACGTTTAGTTGCAACTGCATGAGTAAATTTCCAGTGTTGACAATCTCATTTACCTTCTGTTCTTGTGAACATAGCCATGGGACTGTTTGGATCATTCTTCAAAAGAACTGTACTTGTAGGTATATCCGCCGGGTTATAGTAGAATAAGATGATATCCATACCTGAGTGGCCCCTAGTTGTGAATATATGAAATAGACCACAGTTCATTTCCAGGAAATCTCTAACCTGCATCAGCACTCCCCTCTTTTGTCTGAGAATTCTAGGTGTCGTTTAATATATTTTATTTTGACTTTTGGGAACTCATGTTTCTTAAATTGTTTGTAAAATCTGTGAATTGGTTGGACGTAAAGTGCATCGTCTGAAAAGTTTAAAGTAATTTGCCCTTGATATCTCGACTAAAAAGCTAAGATTTCAAGTAAACCATTTATTGAATACTTCATCACACTTGACATGGGTATTTCAGACGGTAACTTGCAATTTGAAATGTGTTTTTCAGACAGCTACCCTGCCGAAAAATTATATACCGTCTGGCATTTGTTTTTAAGAACTCATCATTTCAAATCAAGGTTCCAAACAACTTATTCTGAAAATCACATTTTAAAAACATGAACTGTTAATTTATGCTTTTTACTGTGCTGGTCAGGGGACGACCCTAGTGAAATATATGATCTGATCTCATAATCCCGAGGATGCTAGTCCATAATTATGAGGTCATATTTCTTGTGCATGTAAATTGTATTCTCATTTGTTCTCCTTGTTTCAGGTATCTTCATGAAGTATGCTCTCCATCTATAATTCACAAAAACATAAAGTCTGCAAACATACTATTAGACACCGAGCTGAATCCTCACCTTTCAGACTCTGGCTTGGCAAGCTTTCTGCCAAATGGAGATCAGGTAAATTTGAGCCATTTTTAATAGTGTGACAATAAATGGAGCGTTCTCCTTTTTATGAGGATGGCCTGGTAGCCCTAACTACTATATTTAAATAAAGGCTGCCCTAACAACTTGTTAATTTATCCATATTCATATTCCAAGGAATCATATTAGTAGGTTCAGCTTACGGAGTAGTACGACCGTGCTAGTATAAGAGCTTGGATCTCTGATCTTTCCTTGATGAATGTTAGAAGACCCTGTAGAACGGGCAAAAATCTGGATATCCTCTTTGTATGTAGGGGAATCACGATGATTGATATGTGAAATAACAAGGTCCGACAAAAGAAACTCCGGGGACAAGTAATTGCTCAGCCTTCAATCTATGAATGAACATTAGGGCGACCTCTATAAACCCTTGTAGTAGTTCTATGTATGGATTTTCTTCTTTTTTTTCCTGGTGCATATTAATCTGCACAAATGGCTGCAGCAAGTGTGTATAAGTATGATTTAAGCCTCCATCACTTTGTGTCAGGTTATATGTTCTTGTTTCATCAAAACTAGATTTTAGAATTCCACAAAAAAGTAAGAAGAAGAGTTCAACTGTAGAATTGGATGATTTATAGAAGGTAAATTTATAATCATTACATGCCCTGAAATCATTAGTTTCTGCTATGATATGCAGGCATTGAATCAGAATGCAGGGTCTGGGTATAGTGCACCTGAGGTTGCTATGTCTGGCCAATACACTCTCAAAAGTGATGTGTATAGCTTCGGAGTCGTGATGCTGGAACTCCTTACTGGGCGTAAACCATTTGACAGGCAAGCTATTTATTTCATAATCAACATGATGGTGCTGCAAGTATCAAGAGGAGCCTTGTATTTGTGAAGACTATTATCTTAATGTGTATCTTGTTAATCTTGGCAGTTCAAGGGCAAGAGCTGAGCAATCTTTGGTCCGTTGGGCAACACCACAGCTGCACGACATTGATGCATTGTCTAAAATGGTTGATCCAGCATTAAAAGGACTTTACCCTGTTAAATCTCTCTCCCGGTTTGCGGATGTTATCGCTCTCTGTGTTCAGGTACGTTACTGACTAATGCCTTACCTTTATCTCCATGCATGTGCATTTGCACCTGAGAAAGTTGTATGTGTACTTGTGTAGTGTAGCATACACTCGTGTGCATGTGTAGTAGACACAAATATGCACCATTAGCTGGACATACTTGCATGTGTTGTTGGATTTCTTGTGACTGCTTCATGTACTGTGAACTAGAACACTTACCATTCTTAATGGAACAAAGTGAAGTGCAAGAAACCGGAGTCATGAGTCGCCTGACTGTTCCTCCGGCCTTAAATCCCCAACTTGCTTGGGTTTATCATCATTGTATGTTGATCCAAATAAAGAATTGGCTGACTAGATGTCGAAAAACAAGTCAAAGCTAAAAGATGGAAGTATGACCATGCTTGATTTGTTAATCCGCTGCTTTTTCCCCCCATCTTGTTATACGTCCAATGGAGTGTTCCGTCTTTGTACCTTTGAGTTTAGCTTCATGGTTGAATGTTGATTCACACAGAAGCATCGAAATGTTTGCTGATACTTCTTATTTGTGTCAGCCTGAGCCTGAATTCCGGCCACCTATGTCTGAAGTGGTGCAAGCACTGGTTCGTTTAGTGCAGCGAGCTAACATGAGCAAGCGAACGACGGGGAACGAACAGACAGCGGGCTCCCAAGCTGAAAACTCATCAGATGCACAGGATTATATGACTTAGTTAGCTGCACAATATATTCCTCTCTCCAGATACTCAACCGGTCCTTGGTACAGTTGTTGGTCGGGTAGTGTAGTATACTTTTTCTGGTTGTCATTGCTTGGAAGTTTTGCTACTGCTGTCATCTGGTATGTAAGTTGTTGAAAGCTCAATTCTGCCGCCGCTGGTTGTCATTCTACTTTGAAGTAGCCCCGATTTGTGAATTACTGTAATATGTGTCAATATTGCACCTCTGTCAAAATAGTTGCCTTGCCGGGCTTACAAGTTTGAGGGTAACATATTGCCTTCATAGTTTCGTGAGTCAACGATAGTGCTCAATAAAATCATTGTTATTCTCTTGAAATTATCTATCTAAAGAATAATAATATACACTTTCTTATTGAGGGTCTCCCTATTACAAATTTTCTATTCATTCATGCTTTCACATAGTACTAAGTACATCTTCAAGAATTCGACAAATCATAGTTCATTTTCACCGTTTTTTAAGAAAATCTATGTGGAAAAAAAAATTCCACGACAATTTCCTCTTTAGTAATACATGAAGCTAATATAGGAAAATCACAGGAATTTCCAATGGCCAGCTACCCCAGCAAATCTCCGATAAGTACTTATTGATCTCTCGATACTTCAATTTTTATATTTTAATTGTATTTTAAATTTAATACTTATTTTAAAAGTTCTATCTATCTTACAAATAAGTATAACTTTAAAACCAAAACTCAAATATCAATGGTTCGAATACTGCATATCGAATTCCAGTATTCAATATACATAATTCTTAAACTAATATTAATTTTTATGACTACTATGAAACAATCATATTCATATCTTTGTGCAAGCTATATGAGACTGGTTCGTTGAATGTTTTAGCCTGGCTAACCGCTAAGTTTTAAACCTCTTTCTAATCCGACATGATTGGATCCATAATCATTAGAAGAGGTTTTTTTTTTTTTTTTGACAATCATTAGAAGAGGTTAAGTGTAATATTTTGGTTCATTCCACCTTTTTAATGTATTAATGAATTTGTTGGGCAAAGACATGTCTACATATATACTCTACACAATATATAATACTGGAATGAGAAAATTGTTGCCACACTTCAAATTTCCTACAACGACAGTGAAAATATGATTGTTATTTTGTCTTCACAATTATTTATCTTTATCATGTATAGAAAAATAGACAAAAATTGGGATTTGGACCAATATAGCTTCAAATAAAGACAAGAGTCATAAGTGCGACCCATGTCTCGACCAACTTCACGTATAGGCAGTGGCGGATACATGGGCTAAAATTTGGGAAAACGATTATCCAACCCCCGGTAGTAGTTTCGTATGAATAAAAAAAATTCTAATTGGTAATCCGGGACACCCTTAAATTTTGAAAAACGATTATCCTGTCATCGGTAGTAGTTTGCGTATGATTAAAAATATGTAAGTAGTACTCTGTGTTATTCAAACCTAGGACACTACTATTATTAAACATATTCTCTAGGTTGCAACTCATTTGTTGTTTTATTTTAAACACTATGTTATAGTAATAACACTATTCTTTATTCTCAATTATTTTCAAAACCTAACAATTAAACTCATTCGAGCTATCCTTAATTTGAATTGATTTTATAGGTGTAGTGCAAGAGTTGAAATAGTCTTTCAAGTTTGAGTTACATCAGGAACAATGTTAGAAATTTAATATGCGATCAGTTGGGGAATTATATATTGTCTAATATGGTATATTTGCACTAATCAAATATTTTTTTGATTTATGAATTATATAATTTAATTTTTAATTAAATTTAATTTTTGGAAGAGGACACCCTTATAAAAATTTCCTGAATCCGCCACTGCGTATAGGGAGTTGGGAGGAGCAACCATGTCGCGACCTGTTTGTTGGTCTCGTCTGGGGATGACAATTTCAATCTGACCCGTTTTATCCGACCTGTTTGGTCTATTTTGGGGCAAGGCGGGCATGGGTACTCTCATCGACCCGACCTGCCCCGTTCTTGTTTAAATTATATGTAATTTTAGTCAAAATACTTGGGATTTTCCTTTTATTACATCATATTTTAGTTATAATAAAGTTGTAAATTAGTGACAACCTCAATTTCTCCAATAATTTAACTACATTTAGGTTTGTTTATTGGTCTTACAATGAAAATAATGAATATTTCTAATGTTTTCCATTTAAATTACATACTCATTGGATCGACCTGTCCCGACCTGCACCCCATGATAAATTACTCGACCTGCCATGAGGTGGGTATGAATAGCGAGATACCCACCCCGAATATGCCCTATTGCCATTCCTAGTCTCGACCTAGTGGCTACTTATGTTGTTGGGAAGAACGAAAGGCTTACTGCAAACGAGTCTGACCGCCTTTCCACTACGACGCTATGATCCCAGAGAGAGACAAAAAGCAGTGGGAACAACATATTGAGCTTGAGCCTAGCTTCACACTCGACTAGCGTATCAAGAAGATTCTCCACCGACACTGATTCGCCTCTTGCTTAAATACTCGCATAGAACTAGTTAGACTCGGGTTCCATACCACGAAAACAAAAAATAAAAAGATCTAAGTTAGAGAGAGAAGCGTAAATCAAAGCAAGCTCAGCTTCCAGGAGCTTCATGTCATTGATATAGGTGGTTACATCGCAGTTACCATTCCTGGTTCGAGCCAATATGTCCTTAAGATTTCTAATACGAGACTGAGAACGACTAGTTATCCGTAGTAGAACAGAGGTTAAATTTACTTGGTTGACAACCAAGATCGTAATTCCTTTAGGCCTCACACGTCTTCTAACTCAGTCATTAAGAGACCTTTTTTTAGGTTTGTAAAACAAATATGGAGGTTGAGGTACTTCCGGGATTGAAGTTCCCCTTATCTTGTTCGAATTTCTAAAGAAAAAGAAAGACAAAACTACACTACTAGACAAGGGAAAGCAGAAAAGGTGTTGCATAGGGGTAAGCTCCTTGATAACACTGAATCTGCACATGTTTTTACCCCTCATTTCTTGATTGTTTAGTTTGGTGTTTATCATACTTTGACATATTTTACGCTAGGTTGTGTTCCTTTGTCACATTTCAGGTCCTAGCACGTAAAGTGAAGCATAGACGCAAGTTTCAAGTCAATGGGATATCAATTGGTGATTCAAGTGAAGAAACTCGGGCCTGACATGAGGAAGAGTGGATTTCTAACTCATTTTATGAAAAAATAATCCTGTAATATTTTCATGAAAAGAAAGAGGATGAGACTACGAGCGTCTGAGATATAACGGAGACTATTTCGGAGTTCAGACGAGGGAGAAACGAAGCATCAAAGACAATGGAACAAAAACTGAGAATTACACGGGTTGGAAGCCAAATTACCCGCCTGGGGAATTTAACGATTAGGTAGGGGATTATTCCAGAAGCAAATCCCCGAGTTGGAAGCCAAATTACCCGACCGGGATTCGTGAGGAGACCCAGGGGAATTTCCAGGTGTAGGTATAAATGCGTTTTTGCGAGTTTTATAAGGGGAGAGCTGGGTTTTGGACCCCAAACACCCAATAGACAAACCAAAGAGTGAGATGACGATTTGAGAGCGTTTTTGAAGCCTTAAAGGCCGGCACGGCCAAGAGCCTGTGCTGACAGGCCTGCCAGCACAGGGCCTCCAATAGTTTGGGCCACATATATTCTGGGTTTCATTTGACGTTATAAAAAAAATGCTTGTAACAACCAGCCCAGCGTGCATTACCCAATTGCTATTTTCCCTCTGAATACGGCCCAATTTCATGTGTAAAAGAGGAGGAAATTGGGCCCTGGTGCCGCGGAAAAAGAAACGGAGGGAGAAAAGGAAACAACTGGACGAAAACCCAACCCAAACCCTCCAACTGTCAAAAGCACCAGAAGAAAGAGCAGGACGACGATCGACGGCGAGGAGGAGAGGCGAAGCGTAGGGCTGTGATCGGAGCTTCCAGCGGAACTTCTGGAATTGGATCCAGGGTCGGAGAATGGAAATTTGGAGGTAGAAGAGAAGGAAGGTCTCTCTAGGATTAGGAGGAGTAGAAGAATCGAGGAAGAAGATTAAAGTGCGCAGGGGCAAGCCGGTAAGCAATCTAGGTTTTCCAAGCGCCATCAACTGTCTGTCTGTGACCGCCAAGGGAAACGAAGAAGAGACGATTCAAGCGCCGATCAGGAAAAAAAAAAGAAGGTGTCTATCTATCTGGTCAATAATTTGCGGTTTCTTGATCGTTCGTACGCGCGCTCCACGACGCCGATTCCCTCTGTCAGATCCATTCTCGTTTTAGTTTCAACCCGTAACTTCCCAATCCATTTGCTTGTTGTGTTGTGGAGTTCAATTCGAATCTCTCTATTGCTTACCGGGGAAATTTCATGGTTTCATTTTCATCAATAACATGCGCTTTATGATTCCCCTCCCATTTACTGTGTAATTAACTGCTCGCATCGCGACTACCTCTCTCTTTCCATCATCAGCACTAGGTTCCTGAGCTCCTCGCAATTGCTGCTCTTACCTACGGTTTCAGTCATTCGAATGGCGGAGAAAGCTTGCGTCAAGCGGCTTCAGAAGGAATACAGGGCACTCTGCAAGGTGTGTATATTCCTCATGCCCTCTTCCTCAATACGCACCTCACTTTTGAAAGCTGCCTTTTTATTGAACGAACGACCTTGTGAAGTTTTTGCCTTCCTAAATCTAGTATTTGGTATGTGGTAGAGGCATTAAAGTTGCAGGGTCTAGGACTCTAGGTATAATGTTTTAGCAACGTCCTTCCTGGCAGTTGTAATAGTCTCTGGCAGTGGCTAACTATGGTGGAAAAGGAAACCTGTAGGCTTCACTTCTTACTTGACGTATTTTGTTCTGTGATGAACTTTCAGGAACCAGTCTCCAACGTGGTTGCACGTCCTTCCCCAAATAACATTCTTGAATGGCGTAAGTCATTGTTCCCTACTATATATACTGGCAATGCTCAGGCTTAAACTTGAAATACCACCTGCTTTTCTTATTGTTCCGCTCCTACATGTCAATGATGCCTTGCCTGTCTGTAAGTTTTATGTTGACAGATTCATGTTGTAGTAAGTAGAGGCTTGAAATGAAAATCTGAAGAAACTGGACAAAGTCTCCATACATTATGCACTTGACATAAGGCGGCTATCAATTTTTTTTCTCTCCTTTTTCTTCATTTCGTTTCTTTTGCTCTTCCATGTGATCTGGTATTGTCTGGTCAATCATATTGCCTTGCTATGCTTAGATCTGATTATTGTTTATTTTCCTATGTTATGATATTCTAGATTATGTATTGGAGGGAAGTGAAGGGACGCCTTTTGCAGGTATGCAACTTGTCATCAATGCTCTACTCAATGGACAATACTGGTTTTGCAGCTGGAAATCATTTTCTCTTGGGCATTTTTTTTCCAGTTGCAGTTCATGATATTTAATGTTTCAGTTGGATCTTATAAATTCTTTTCAGGTGGATATTACTACGGAAAAATCAAGTTTCCTCCTGAGTATCCATATAAACCTCCTGGAATTACGTAATCCTCATTCTTCCTCGTCGATGAATTTATTCAAGATTTAATTTAGTTTGTTTCTCTTTCCAATGGTGTGCTTCTTTAACTTTTATTATCCTTTTTAACTGTTCTTGGTAGCATGATCACTCCCAATGGACGTTTCATGACTCAGAAGAAAATCTGCCTGTCAATGAGTGACTGTAAGTTAGCAATCATTTTTCTATTGGAAATAATTTCATACTTTGTAGTAACTTTGCTTGTATCCTTCATGTTCCCCTGTTCAGTTCATCCAGAAAGTTGGAATCCAATGTGGTCCGTATCAAGGTAAAACTGATTGGGTTGAGGTGTGCCCTTTATTGGTTGCAGACGTTCCATTGTTGTATTTCTTTCTCTAGCTCCCAGGGTGTAGGCTGTAACCATTATGGAAAACCGGTCTTGTTGATCTTTTTATAATGTTCTTTTATTATTGTCATTGGTGCAGCATACTCACTGGGCTGCTTTCTTTCATGGTGAGAACACTTCGCCTTTTTTTATCTTCCAGCTGGTTTCAACATTCATATCCGATCTTGCCTACTCCTGGGACTGATTGTAGCAATTGAAATTGAATCTAGGAGTTGTTAACTGTTTAGTGAATAGCATGCATTAGATTTTCCAAAAATTCGTATGCACTCTCATCATTCAGGAATAGGGGTTTCATACTTGGTAGTTTCAAGGATGTACATGGTTTCTTTAATTCGAATGAAAACCTTTTGATGTAGGGTTTAAATTGTTTCCTTTGAACCTCACTTTGGTTCTATTATCTGTTTTACCCTTCTCATGCAGATGGACAACAGCCCCACGACAGGCAGTGTTAACAGTACCGTTGCTGAGAAGCAACGTCTGGCAGAGGCCTCTCTTGCTTTCAATTGCAAGAAGTACGTCGATCTTTTCACATAATCTTCCCCTCTCCTTTTCTGGATGAAGTTTCTTTTCCATTTCGTAGTGTGCGGTCGACATTTATGGTTATCCCCTTTCTGCGTCCCTGTTTAACATTCTGTGCCTAAGTTCACCTGCTTCTTCTATCAATTTTCTGAATGGTCTACTGGCTGGCTCCATTCATGTCAATTCTTTGGGGATGGTGGCAGTGGCACTTGGTTTTGAATAACTGCGAATTTTAATGTTGATGGTAGTCATGAAGCAGGTGGTCTTTATGGCATGTGTGTTGTGATTGTGACGAGTCTTTCTAATTGAGTTTATTGATGATTGTTTGCGCATGACATCTTCCTTTCTTCCTAGCAGCGCAACATTTAGGAAGTTATTTCCTGAGTATGTTGAGAAGTACAACCTAGAGCAGCAGCAGCAGCAGCAGCAGCAGCAGCAGCCTGGTGGGCAACCTGATTCAGATATAGGGCCGGAGATTTCAGAAGATGAGAACTCGAGGCCTAAGCCAGAAAGAGTGGACGGCCATTTGGAAGAAGATGCGAAAAGGGTAGATCCAGCCAAGGATGCAAGAAGAAACAAAAGAAAGCAGGCATTTCCTGCCTGGGTGGTGATATTGCTTGTTTCAATCTTTGGGATTGTAATGGCACTGCCTCTGCTTCAGCTTTCACATCCCTAGACTGGTGAATGAAGTGGAAGAACTGAAGCAGGGGGTAACTAAATCAAACCGCCATGAAATGCTAGCCGAGACTTTTTTTTTTTATTATCTTCTCTTTGTACTGGGGAAAAAAAAGAGAAAATATATATCGCTTAATGTGTATATAATTTTGTCATTCTGACCTGGGTGGTGTGGTGTCTACAGTCTCGAGTCTTGACTGATTATAGCAAAATAGCACTAGTGTGTTTTTTTATGTTGGCAGGATTTGTTCTTTCGACCTAACTTGTGCGAGTGTATTGGTTCTTTCCCAGTCATCCTCCCTTCTGCAATTCCCTTTCTTTCTGTATCCACCAACGGGATCCTTGATGCATAAATAAAGTTCGGGGACTATTTAAATCTCCTGGTAAAGTTTGGGGGCCATTCCGTATTTATTCACCTCATTTTATTTATTGGCCCTTTTCTCGGATATATATTTTGCGAGTTTCGCCAATTCGCGTTATCTTTTCGGAGGCAGTCTTGAAAGAAAACGAGACGAGGAAGCAAGCACAAGAAGAGGCGGCTGTCGCTGTGCTGCGACGAAACCGTTGATTGATTATTTGTGTGCTTCATCAGTCCATATCTCAGTTGCAGTCTCCCATTTCACCTTCACCGGCGCCGGTCACTGCTCGGAAAATGGGAAGGAGCCTATCTCTACCTTCCAACCGTTTGTGTAAATGCGGCTTTCAGTAGTATTTAGCTACAGTCGTTGAGATTGGACGGACGGACGGAAGGCCGGCCGGCTCAATTTCAGCTATCAGCGTTACATCTTTGTCTGAATGAGCTCTCATCAATGCCTTCATTAGGTGCTTTCCCTTCTCTTTCTCAAACTCCTGCTTGCCCATTACTCCATTTCTTTCAGTTCGGTTTCGATTGAATTTCCTGCTACAGAATGCTTGTTGCTGGTGGAGAACTGTAGAGGATGGGCTATAGGAATTGTTTACGAGTTTTCCGTGTAGCCGCGATAATTCATATAGCTTCTGCTAGAAATGCAGTTACTTGCCATGTATTCGTTTCTTCTGATTGTATAGTTACATTTTTTTCTTAATATGATGTGTTTGGGCAGATATTCCTACTGCTCAGACTTCGTTGAACAACCATCTGCCACCTCTGGCTCCGAGGGCCCGGCTTCTTCCTCGTTGTCAGGCCTTTTCATCCCCATTCATTCCTGCTGTTGATGATGCGAGACTGCTCTCCGTCTGGCAATCTTTCCTCCCGCTCCCGCCTCTAAGGGTGCACCACGCTTATCAGCCACATAAGTTTCTCATCAAGGCAGTTGCGGCAACCCTCGAACCAAAGGGACTGGTCTCGAGGGAACCGGGAGATGGGGATCGAGCTCAATGTGACACTCATCTCGACTTCACTTCAGGGCTTTCCACATCTTTTGATGACTCTGAAACTGCAGATTTGGATGAGAGAGAGAGGCTGAGACGAATGAGGATCTCTAAAGCTAATAAAGGAAATGTACCTTGGAACAAGGGCAGGAAGCACAGTCCAGGTAGGTTGTCACTACACGCACAGAACATGTTATTGGATTTGGGGCAGGTAGGAGTGTTTGCTGTTACAGGCATTTGTTCTGTACAATTTTCGCGCTGCCTAATTAACGTAAATAATTGATCCACAGAAACCCTTCAACGCATCAGGGAGAGAACGAAGATTGCAATGCAGAATCCTAAGGTGATGTCATGTAAGAATTATTTTATACATGTTCCTATTGTCTATGATTTGAAAATTGAAAGCAATTGAACATCGCTTTCTACAGTGTCAAAGTCCTTGCTAATTGATTTTCGATAGTCGATAACGCATGCTTCATGCATGAACACATAAATTTTCGTATCTGAACATTTGTATAGTTGATATTTGATAACTCCCTCTTCATGGAAGTTATATAATACGCTAAGGCTCAAGGCTATGTTTTCCTCTTGGCCATTGGTGCCGCTTTCTTTCTCAAGCTCATATTCAAGACCCATTCAAGGCAGTCTCAAGGAGGCAGATTTTTCCTTTCAGCTTCAGTTTCCCTGCTATTCATGCATATGGATTCTTGCTCTTGCTATGGTATCCATGATAGCTATGAAGGACCATGGATTCGAATGGTCAAGGGAGATAATGAAACGAACTTGTTAATTTTTTGTATGATATACAGTTGTTGTTACAGTTCCTGATAGAAACTCTTTTATGCAGATAAAAATGAAGCTTGCAAGCCTTGGACATGCTCAGAGGTGAGTTTATGCTATTTATTTGATCTTACAAGGGTTTGACACATTGTATGCTGCTACTTCTCCATACACTTCTGACAGTTTCTGTTTAAAATGCCTTGATTCACTTTTGTGTGGTTAGTGAGTATGATGGAGTCATTAGGTTTAGAACTGTTAACATCTTCTTAGACCACAGTTTAGAACTGTTAGCCTCTTCTTAGACCACATTAATACATATTGCATTGTTAATCATCTTGCAGCAAAGAGACAAGACTGAAAATTGGCCAAGGAGTGCGAATGGGATGGGAAAAGCGTCGTGACAAGCTAATGGTGCAAGAAACTTGTTATTTTGAGTGGCAGAACTTGATTGCATCATCTTCAAGGATTGGCTGTGTTGACGAGGAAGAGCTGGAATGGAATTCTTACAGTATCTTGAGTAAACAGCTTGAAACTGAATGGGTAGAGAGTATTGAAAAGCGGAGAGCAACTCCTAGGACAAAAGGCAACAAGAGGGCACCAAAATCCCTGGAGCAAAGAAGAAAGATTGCAGAAGCCATTGCTGCCAAATGGGCTGATCCTGTAAGAAATTATGAAGCATTTGTTTTCCTGTTTCTCTTGTTAGTTTTTTTCCCCCATCCTAATGTTCATATATTGCAACACCTATCTTCCACGGACGGCCTGCAAGTGACTTTTTTGTTTGATTCTAAATTTTGCATGCGTTGCCCTCTATCTTACAACTTCTTTTTCTTTCTTGTCTAGGCATACCGAGATCGAGTTCGCTCTGGCCTGGCTAAATATCATGGTGTTGCGGAAGGAACCGTGAGAAAGCCAAGGCGAAAGCCAGTTGGCAGCAGACCATCAACCAAGAGGGACAGTTCAAAAAAGAAAGCCAGTGAAACAAGCAGTTCTTGTGGAAGTGATGCCACGAGCTCTACACAGGTCATGAAACAGCGGAACAGTACAACCCCTTCTTACAAGGATCCTTTAGCCAGGTCCAAGTTGAAGATGATAATGAACATCAGGGCACAAAGAGCCGCCGTGGAAACTAAAAAAACTGAAGCCATTGAAAGAGCATGGTGATTGTTAAGCTGTTAGTTTGAGCTAGAAGTAGTCTTCTGAAGTTGGTGATTATATATACGTTTTCCTAACCATAAAGCCACAATATGCAGGTTATTAATTGCTCAAGCTGAGAAGGCAGCTAAGGTCCTTGAGGTTGCTGCAGCAGAAAGCCCGATTGCACGAGCTTCTCTGGTAGAGTCTAGAAAGCTTATAGCAGAAGCAATTCAATCCATTGAGTGTGTTGATCGAGGGGATGTTGATCTTGCAACAACCGAACTGTCCGATGAGGGGAAGGAAGTTGATGATGCTGGTGGGTTGCCAGGCTCTACCAGACCAGTGTTCGTAAATGGGGGAACGAAAACAGCTTCTGCAACGTGTGCTGAAGATGGGGAATTGATCAACTCGAGTAGACTGGAGTTCCATGGTAAGTATTGCAGCCCGCATCAGGTGTTCGATTTGGCGAGTCTCGTCGAGACACCAGAGGACCACTGCCAGCGTGAAGTGAACGGGAATCTCAAATCTGCAACGAGTGTCCGGCCTAATGGTTCCAAAGTCGAGCTGCACGAGAGTGAGGAGAAACCTTTAGATTTGGTGGCCGGGGTGACTGCGAAGAGATGGGTTCGCGGAAGACTTGTTGAAATGGTACCAGGAGGTCGAATGTAGTAGTAGTAGTAGTCGTTGGAAGAGTTTATTATCTGATTAGAGTTTGGCCTGAATCTGATTAGAGTTTGGCCTGGGACAGGGACGTGATATATTCCAAAAGCTTGTTGCCGTCGAAGAACAGATTCACTGAATTCGTAGATTTTATAGAAAATGTTTTCTTTGTTGTTTTTTTATTCTATATCTTGATTCGTATTTTTTTTCTCCTAGTTTTTTTTTCGTTCCTTTTATTTATTTATCACATGAAATATATTTATCAACAAAGTTTTTAATATTTCTCGAACCACTATAATTTTTTTATTTAAGATAAACAAGTTATTTAATATAAATTTTTTATTTTTATTTTAATGGAATGTTAACAATCGCAGTTACCAAACAATAAACATAAAATCTGTTTTCAACAATCCGGGGAGTTATAATCTTTAGATTGTTGACAATCTGTAAATTTAAACTCATATTCTCCAAACGACAAGCTTACGGAACTTCATATAGTATTTTTTTGTGTATTATAAATTTGGAGTATCAAAAATCAATTATGATTTTATAATAATTGATTTAAAAGAACAGTGATGGAGGAGATGCACCACCTTCTCTAATGAGAGTCAAAGATCAAACTCAACCATCAATCTACACCAAAATATTGAAAGAGATAAATAAACTCAGTTTCATTAATATTAGACAAAATACACTTGCATAGCCACAACTTTGATGTTTGTGACACTTGTAGCCTAATTTGATAAAAATACACTTGTATAGTTAGATTTTGGGTTTTGTTTGACAAATATAGTCATTCCGTCACACACCGTTAATGATGCTAACTGGGTAAATAGGTAAATAGGAATGGCAATGGGCAGATCCGGGGCGGGTATCTCGATACCCATACCCGCCTTGTGGCAGGTCGGGTCTAGGTCGGGTAATTTATCATGGGGTACGGGTCGGGTCAGGACGACCCAATGGGTACGTAATTTATATGGAAAACATTAGAAATATTCGTTATTTTCTTTATAAGACCAAGAAACAAATCATAATATGATAAAATGTAGTTAAAATATTGGATAAATTGAGGGTTTCACTAATTTACAACTTTATAATAGCCAAAATATGATGTAATAAAAGGAAAATCATAAGTAATTTGACTAAAATTACATGTACTTTAGGCAAAAATGGGTCGAGAATGGGGCGGGTCAGAACAGGTCGGATCGATGATAATATTCATGACCGCCCCGCCCGCCTACGAGGCGGGTCGGACCCGCCCAAAACAGGTCAAACAGATCGGATAAAACGGGTGAGGTCGAAATTGTCATCCCTAACCTAATTTGCATTCTTAATTTTTTTCGTACCAAATAAAACCGTATATACTAAAACATGCCCCATTTTGGCAATTTGTTGCCACTTGCCAGAGTGTCGTCATGACTGGCAGTTCACTAGTTGAATCCTCGTCGTCCTCGTCCAACCACCGACGCAGCGATTCACAATCAATCAAAGTTCAAACCCCAATTCATACGCCATCCCAAATCTGGCGGTGGCCGGTGAGAGAGATTGCGGTTAGGGCATCGGAAGCTTTCCGCTGAAGAAAGAGAGCCCACTGCCCACCAACCAGCACCAGCCCGTCTCTCTCGCCGAGGTTTACTCTGCTTCAGCCGGCGCCAGACAGCGATGGACAGAGCTTCCTCCGACGAAGACGACGATCGCGAGAGCTTCCTAGAGCAGAATGACCGGAAACATCCCCATCCCATCCCTCACCAACCCTCGTCCTCTCCCCGCCGCTCGCCCTCCTCTTCTCTCCACGTCGAGGATCTCCGCACCTTCGGCAATGGCGTCCGGCGCCGGTTGTCCAAAAGGTACCTCTTCGCCGTCTTCCTCCCTCTCTTCATCGTCCTCCTCTACTTCTCCACCGACTTCCGCACCCTCTTCTCTAACTCCAAATTCCCCGTCCTCAATCTCGATCCCCTTTCCGATCGGATGCGCGAGTCCGAACTCCGGGCTCTCTACCTCCTCCACCAGCAGCAAAGCTCTCTCCTCTCTCTCTGGAACCATTCTTCGAATTCTTCGTCTTCTTCCATCCAATCCGCCCTCCTGCCCTTGATTTCGCTCAACAAGCAGATTGAACAAGTTCTATTATCCCCTCATAACTCCCCCATCAACAACACTACATTGTCTTCAGATTCCAATCCATCTGCCGTGGCTCCTGCTCGCTTCTCCAGCTGCCAGAGCCTCCACCGTCGCCTGCCGGACCGGAAAACCATGGCCTGGAAGCCCCGGCCCGATAAGTTCTTGTTTGCTATTTGTTTGTCGGGCCAGATGAGTAACCACTTGATTTGCCTGGAGAAGCACATGTTCTTCGCTGCTTTGCTCAACCGGGTCTTGGTTTTCCCGAGCAATCGGTTTGATTATCACTATAGTAGAGTATTGGATATCGACCACATTAATACTTGTCTTGGAAGCAAGCTTGTGCTCAACTTCGAAGAATTCGAGGAGATGAGGAAGGATCGCCTGCGAATTGATAAGTTCATATGTTACTTCTCAGCCCCCACGCCTTGTTACGTAGACGAGGACCATGTCAAGAAGTTGAAGGCCTTGGGGATTTCTGTGGGGAGTAAGCTAGAGTCTCCTTGGAAAGAGGATATCAGGAAACCTGGCAAAAGGACTGCCCAGGAAGTGGTGGCCAAGTTCTCGTCTGATGACGATGTTATCGCCATTGGAGATGTCTTCTACGCTGATGTAGAGACGGAATGGCTGATGCAGCCCGGTGGCCCTCTGGCTCACAAATGCAAGACCTTGATTGAACCTAGTAGACTTATCACGCTCACAGCCCAGCGTTTCATCCAGACTTTCTTGGGGAACAATTTCATTGCTCTCCATTTCCGGCGGCATGGCTTTTTGAAGTTCTGGTGAGCTTACTTCCCCTGCACATTACATGTTTATGAAGTCACAAAAGGAAGCCTTTCTTTTTCCAAGAATCTCTTCGTACCTAATGGTTATTTTTGTCCTGTCTCATGTTCAGTTACCATAACCTAGGTCTCTAGATTGTCTCCACCAGGGAATGGGAATATACTATGGTTAAGTTTTCTGAGCAATGCCTTCAATGTGTATGAAGCTTTTTTGTTCCCGGACACATGGCAGAAAATTATTGCTTAGTTGAAAACTTATCCTGGTGTTTGGACTAGATATCTTTTTATTCCACGTACCGGAGGTCATGCATACTAGGTTGGTAGCTTTGGTGCACAGAGATTTAATATCCCTTTCATGGATTTTGAATGTATTAGCTAGTGTGCTTATGTCTTTGGTATTGGGACTGGGGACAGCTTAGTTTGACTTACTGTTATGAATAATTTTCCAGCAATGCTAAAAAGCCGAGTTGCTTTTACCCGGTTCCTCAAGCTGCCAGCTGCATTGCTCGCGTGATTGGAAAAGCAAATGCACCAGTTATCTATCTTTCGACTGATGCAGCAGAAAGTGAAACCAACTTGTTGCAGTCACTAGTGGTTGTGGATGGGAAGACCATACCATTAGTTAAGCGACCTCCTCCTAATGCAGCTGAAAAGTGGGATGCTTTGTTATATAGACATCACCTTGAGGATGATCCACAGGTGGGAACCTTTCCTGTCCTTCGTATGCTTTCATTGTTTTAGTTGTTCTTGCTCTTTGTTTCTTTGTGGAGTTAGTTCTGCTCCGTGGGGGACTGTTTCCTAATGCTACATGCAATTTATTGTGAAGTTCACTTTGTCGAGCTATTTAGGCTGCATGTGATGTCTAGGTGGTAAGAAACAGGTGGATATGTTCTGAGAGATGGAAAACCATATAATTTTATTGAAGTTAAAAGATAAAAAAGGGTCGTGTTTGCATAAACTTAGAGTTAGCTTTGATACTAAAAGTTAGAGTCTGCCATGAATGTGTTTGGTTTGAGAAGTTGGCTAGTGGGTGTTCTGTAAGTGGTTACTGTGTCTATATGTTGAAATAAACGGAGTCCTTCGCTGTTGATTCGTACTATGAGGATGCACCAAGTGGTTTGTGGAAAAGGCCCTAGCTTAGTAGCACAGAAAAACAGAATTTTATGTTTCAAGCTCTCAATTGAAATAACTAGACAGGCTCTCTCATCTATGCATGAGAAAACTAGGAGACAAACTCTCTTTCATGTTTTTTTTTTAACGGATCTCTCTCATGTATTAAGTGTACATTCATAAGGTCCAACATTTTTCACATGCAACATTTTTTTAGCTTGCTTTATGGGGGCGTTACTGTTAATCTGTATGTTGCACTTGTATCTCATCACTTGTTAAATTCAATGGACCGGATCTAGATACACACAACTTCACTAAGAAATCAACATAAGTAACTTAAATTAGCAATCAACATAAGTAACTTAAAGAGCATATGATCCATCAGTTCTCATTCTTGCTGATATCGTATTTATTTGGTTTATTTCCCTTGTGCTGGTTTGGATAGGTGGAAGCTATGCTGGATAAGAGCATATGCGCCATGTCAAGTGTATTTATTGGGGCAGCAGGATCAACTTTCACGGAAGATATTCTGAGGCTTCGCAAGGACTGGGATTCTGGATCATCATGCGATGAATACCTGTGCCAGGGTGAGCTCCCAAACTTCATAGCAGAAGATGAATGAAATGAAGAAGAAGACGATGACGAGAAGACTCGAGGTTTGGGAATTAGGGGAGATGGATTCATTTCCTTACTTGCATCCTTGATTGTAGTTGGTTGGAGCGGAGCAGAGCAGCTGCTGGGAAACAATGAACGATGGATTCCTTCTGTCAGTGTTTTCTGTCGTGGAGATCCCTGCTGAGCCCGACTCTTGTGCCTGAGATAGCTAGGGAGCAACCGAGCTGCTCCGTCCATTCGTTCATTCCTTCCTGAAGATACTTGTAAGCAAGCAGCAGTTTGTTTCTTATTATGCATACAGAAGTGGCGTTTTCTCGGCTCGGCTGTGCACATAGGGAGCGAAAAGCAAGTGTTTTTAATTTTGGTGCTTTAGAAGTTGAAGAAATATACATATACAGCAGCGGATTTTGGAGGTTATACTTCTTGGTTTTGATGCACAACACGAGCAAGGAATTCTTTGGATCGATTGCTGTGGAAATACATTAAACTTTAGTTAGTTAGTTTTTATCCTTTTTTTTTTTTTTTGGCTTGCAACGTGTGACAATAAACTTAGGGCTCGTTTGCTTGTTGGATTTGAAAATGAAGGTTTTGAGTTTTAAAAACCTTTGGATTTATGATGGATTTGTTGCATCATAGATTTGGAAGAGTACATTG